CAACAAATTTTAAAAAATGAACGATTCGAATTATTAAAACGGAACTTATGGTGAGCTCCACAAATCTCTCAAATTCTTTTATATTGAGATGCGATTATAGGAGAAATTTAATCTAATACATACATATATATATATATATATATATTGGGCATGTATTGTAATGACAATTTTTTTTATCAATGGAAGTATTGAAGCTTTGACAAGATTATTTCAAGAGTTCAACCAAATCCAAACTTGGGGTCTGCTGACATTCATAATGACCAATTCAAAAAACCCATGAAACGAACGTTTATTTTAGAAAATAAGTTAAAAGTTAATTTTTTTTATTTAAAAAATGTACCCAAAAAAATATGACTTAAATAAATTAAAAATTTTAATTAATTGAAATAATTTAAATAAGTGTATTTTTTGATTTTTTATAAAAAAAAAAATATGTAAAAAAAAATAAAGAGATAATGTAACTTAAAAAAACAAAAAAGATAAAAAATGAGGAGCAATGATTGAGACTCCCACCTCACAATACTCCCACAAATCTAAATTACTCATAATGTGGCCCGATACCTGCATGAGTAAGTCTCACACATACATAAAAAATCAAGATCACTTTATAAATGGCACATGAAAGGCTCCAAAAATGTAGTTATATGGCACACCCTAAACAAGCTCTTATTGTCAAAATGGAGGAACAACGACACATGGAGGAGAGCGCTGAGGTCTATCACCCATTGTTAAAAATCATTGACCTTGACTTTGAAAGATTCGTGAAATTGACACACCACCCCCCTTAAAAGTGGGGCACAAACCTTGGCCACATGTAATTCTTTACCCCAAAAAAAAAAAATAAAAAACAAACAAACAGTGATTCTAAAAAAAATTGTTCTTATTTGATGTAGTTTATAGAGGTAATTATTTTCCTTATAAAAAAAAAATAGAGGTAATTATAAATTTTCTTATTTAAAATTTTAGGATAAATTTTAAATACATTTTTTAAAATTTACTTAAAATACAAATTACTTCATGTAGTTTTAAAAATTATAACATACCTTCCAAATTTCTAATTACATAATAAATGACTCATTTTATTAATAAATTATCAAATTAATTAAATTTTTTAATAATATTAAAAATTCTTTAATTTTGAGATTTTTTTTGTAATAATGATATGTTTGTATATGATTTTTGTTGTAAAGGAAAAAAAAAAAATTTAATTTCAATTTTTTTTTTAAAATTTTGAAAACAAAAAAATATATGTATTTTTTCAAAACAAATTTTCACTCTCCCTCTTCCAAACTTGAGCCACCACCCACTGTAGGCCACCATTGACACTGTTAGTGACCCTTCGGCGAGCTCTAGCGACCCTCTAGTCAGTTACCTCCACATGCGAGCTCTCTATCACGTTATCACCTTTAGCAATTTATTAAATATGTATTATTATTATTATTATTATTTTGAAAATATGAAAAGGGTTAAAGTGGCTAAATTAGTAAAAAAAGATAAAATAAATTAATTTAATTAATAATATAAAATATTACATTTAATAAAACTTTGTTGGCACGTCAAGGTTGGAACTCTTTCTTTGCCAGGATGATGAAGGGAATCTACTATCCCCATTCAGATTTTGCACATGCCTCAAAAGGGTGGCATGCATCTTGGGCGTGGTCAAGTTTATTGATCGGCCGAGAGGTGCTTGCTAGGGGCTTACGGTGGCAGGTTTGTAATGGAGCTTTACTGATAAAGATCCTCACAAAACACAACCTCCACAACTCTCAAAATGATCTGAACCATTCATATTACTGTTAGATACAACTCTAAAAAAAAATTCAAACACATCAATAGTTAATATGTCATGGGATCCTCTTTTATAGGAGTCAAGAACATTTTCCTATTAATTTTTGGGAAGATCGTTGGATTTCATCGATGAAAGATTTCGAAGTCCACTCCCCACGTGGTTGGGTGATCTCCTCTCCCAGTTTGGGATTTCTTAAGAATGCAAGGATATTGTTTGTAGAGTGGCATGGATCATGTGGGCTATTTGGAAGGCCTGTAATGTGTTCATCTTCAACCATATTCCGGTCAACCTCACGGTTGTTATTGGCAATGCAAAAAGGGAAGAAAATAAGTTTTTGGCTGCCGTATCGATGGACTCATATGTAGGCTGAATAGGCCTGCTCCTGTTTCGGAGGAATGGAGCATTCATTGTGATGTTGCCACTGATCTTAGTTCAGGGAGGGGTGCTGTTGCAACTATCCTGCGTGATAATCATGGGTGTCTGATAGATGATTTGGCAAGGAAAGTTCCTTTTACCTTTGCTTTGCAAGGGAAGGCTTTGGTTGTGCGTCTTGCATGTGTCTTGCCAAATTCTCCCAATCTTTCTTCAGTCGAGATTTTTTATGACAATTTAGCTGTTATTTTGCTTTAGGTCTCTAAAAATGTACTCCCTTGGGAGTGTGGAGTTGTAGTTGAGGATATTAGATCTTTGGCTAGGCGAGGAAGTGTGTCTTTTGAGTGGCGTCTTAGAGTAACTAATATGATAACCCATTGAATTCCTCGCAGATGCTTAGATGAGGCTTTATCGTTGGATTGGGTTTCTTGCCCTCCTTCGGCTCTTATTGGGTGTCTTTTCAATTCTATGTAATTATGGTTTTTCTCATCAAAAAATTATTATTGTTATTATCATTTCATTTTTTTTCTCACAACTATCTCATTCAAATAAAAAAAAATTAAAAATTCTTTTCAAACAAAATTAATTTAACTAGACTAAATTAACTAAAAAAATAAAACTAAATTAACTCTTTTCAAACTAAACCTAACTTTCCAACTACCAATTCCCAACTTCCAAATGGTTCTGACCTCCGTCTTTTCGGAGCAAATTGAGAGCATAGCCTGTGATGGGGGATAAAATAGTAAGGAGGTAATTATTTAAAATTCGTATTTATAAATGTTTTGGCAATTTAGATTTTATTTAAAAAAATTTTAATCAATAAATCTTATTTAATAAAATTAAGAATATTATCAGTTGTTTTTAATTTTTAAAACTAAGAATATTATTAATTTTGTATAATAATGTTTCAAATAATTGTTTTACTAACGAATAAAAAAAAAGCATGAGATTAAACGTTTTTGTCCTTCTACTTATTGATTTGATTCAACTATTCAATAAAATCAATAATATTATCAATTTTTTTCCAGTTTTAAATTTGAGAATATTATTAATTTTTTTCATTTTTAAAGTTTTTTTTTCAGTTTTACACATCAATGTTCCATCATCATGCTCCTTTACAGACACAATTTTCAGTTTTGCGCAAAAAATAATTCAATTTTTTCAATTCAAAAAATGCACACAATTTTTTTCTATTTTTCAATTTAAAAGTTTTGAAGATCAAAATAAATATCAAATTATCATGTTTCCTTATAGATAATAATAAATGATGAACAATTATTATTATTTGAAGGGCAATTTCTACTATTAAAAATTTAATGAGACTTGAAGGTCTAAAAAATCCTAGGTACGAGTTAGGCCTCATTTGGGAAATGGGTTAAAAGTCACTTTTTAACTTTTAACTCATTTTGAGTCACATCATCTCTTACATTTTTTACACATTTTTTCAAAAAAAAAAATCAAAAAATCAATTTTTGACCATCTTCTCAAAACACCCCTTAATGGAGTATAAATTTATAAATTAGGACTTGCGTGTAAATGCCCCAATAGTAAATTTTCCGGAATAAGTTTAAAAAAATAGAATAAATAAGATAAAATAGGTCAAATAAGTCAATAAAACAAAATGTCATATTCAAATCATAATCATTTCACTTTTTTTCTCATAAAAGTCAAAAAAATCAAAAAAATTAAACCAAACAAACTTTTAATCCTAAGTTAAAATACTAAAAATAAAATAAAAAATCAACTAAAAAAGAGTCAATTGCCAAATTCTCACCGAAAATTAAGGAGGCTTTTTTAACATGATACCGGCCACGTTTTAAGGGTTGCTATCAACTAATCTTTTATCACTACACAATCAATTCCATTCGATTCAAATGATTACTAGATAAACTTCCAAATTATACGGGGAAAAAATTGAAGTAAATAACTCCATAAGATTGTTGATTATAGTAAATGGGTATGATTTGAATTCGCTCAAGTTGGATACTTTGGGTTTTGTGGGCTAATTTTGCAATCAAATTTAATAATTCAAATGGCTTATAATTTAAGATTCGTTGAATAAGATATTTATGTAAAAAATCAAGTTAATTACATAATGATAAGTATATGTTTAAATTACATTTGTATTACAAAAAATGAATAGTTATTCTTGAAATTGTATTTGTCGTATATTTTTTTAAGACAAATATGATTCAAACATATAGCTAGGGGTGTGCACGGTGTGGTTTGAGAGTAAAATTACAAACCGAATGATGGATTAGCGGATCGCAGTTTGGTTGGTTTTGGACGAATTAACAGATCACTACAAAATTTTTTACTTTTGGCGATTAAAATTTTAGTCGCCAAAAGCCTATTTTTTTAATCGCCAATCACTTTTGCCGACTAATATATTTGGCCGCCCATTTGGTCGCCAATAGATCGTCGAGGAAACAATCAGCGACTAAAATTTTTTTGGTAGCCAAAAATGACCTATTAGCAACTAAAACTTTAGTCGCCATATATTTTTTAAAAATAATTAAATATATATATTTTTACTTTTAGCGACTAAATTATTTAGTAGCCAATTGAGTATGTATGTTTGGCGATTAAATTTTTGATAGCCAAAAGTTTCACTTTTTGAGAATTGACGACTAAACATTTAGTAGTCAAAATTTTTTTTTTTTACAATTGGCGACTAAAAGTTTAGTAGCCAAAAGTTTCACTTTTTCACGGTTGGCGACTAAAATTTTAGTAGCCAAAAGCCAACTTGTGATATTTGTTTAGTCACCAAAAAGTCTCATTTAGTTTTTATAATTTGTTCTGCAATATTTTTTTGTGCATATACAAAATTATTCATCCATTCATTCAATCCTCAACCATTCAATAAAAATATTTCTCCACAAAAATATTTCTCCACAACCTGTAGCATTCAATTTCCAACCATATACAAAATTTAACTATTAAAAGCCATTCAAATGCCTTATTTCAACAAAATGTAATAAGCAGGGAAGAACAGAGACATAGACAATGTAATAACCCTCAATCATCCTTAGCCCTTTGATCTCTTAGTTGCTTAAGCTCTTCAATCAACACTGTCAAATTTTTATGAGATGATCCACCTTCTTTAACAGCTTTCAATGCCATCTCTCCCAGCACTTTAGCCTTCTCTGTTATCATCACCGCCGTCCATCACCCTCTTTACAGCGGCCTCTATATTTTCTCTCCTCACCACATTCTTTCCAACATCAATCCACAAGTTCCAATCCTTCTTCTTAATTATTGAATTGGAACTGTCAAAAGAAACATTATAAACATTGCGAAATGAATTTATGAGACTATGATTCATAAAAAAATTTATGAGAGGCCAACAATTTCAAAAAATATTTATAAAATTTCAAACAAATCCAACAATTTCTAACAAGTGAAAAACATTCATCTATAAGCCAAACCTAAAATTAAACCTTAATTTGGTGATAAAAATAAATGATCATACATCACAGAGCATGTGAATTACTATTGTCACTACAAGAAAAAATACTTTTAGCAACGTTTATATTAGTATCAGCGACCCAAAAAAAAGGGCCACTGAAGCCATGTCACTAAATGATTCAGCGACCAAATAAACTAACATAGCTTGAAATGTAATGAATTTGACTACTTTAATATTGAGTGTTGTCAAGAAAACTAGGGCAAAATGTAAACTCATAGCATTTCTACCTTCTAAGATATGCCCTAACGGATAACTAAAATAATTTGTTAAACACATTTGAGCATTTATAATTTTAGTAAGATTGTTAGTATGCATAGAATTTGTTAAAAACCACCTCACCTACTCCACTAAACCTTCACCCAATTAAACCTACTCCACTAAACCTAACCCACTACACCACTACCACCTCACCTACTCCACTAAACTTAACCCACTACACCACTACCACATCCACTTCACCTACTCCTTACCTACTACACACTCACCCTCTTCTATATATAGGAATCATGAATCATTGTAATAGATATCAATAAATAACAATCAATAATACAATTCTCTTTATACATTAAATTTCTATAGAATTATTCATTAGAAACCAAGAAGCCAAATTAGAAATCAAAATCAATTAAAACCCATAAATTAAGTTCCTAAATACATAAAACAAGCTATGAAATTTATATTAACAATTCCAACTTCAAATGGACAAAACCCCAACCTATACCTAAATCTAACCCATCTTCCCATATAATGAACTTATCTAAACAAACATGAAATCATGTTTTCTTCATTAAATTAGACCGTCAATTTTCCTTAGAAAATGATATATATATACACACACACATATATATGGGACCTAATTAAAAAGAAAACCAGAACTAAAAAAAAATTATTGATTCAGTTACTTTAATTTTTCCAAAATCTATACAGAATCATAATTTTGCGATGACCAGACTATATGAATCAACTATAACTTTTCAAAGAAAAATAAATAAATTCAACTTTACTTTTTATTTGTTTATTTATTATATATATATTTGACTATTAAGCCTCCTTCTCATGTCTAGACAATAAACAAATCAATCAAAGCTGGTAGTGTTTTGTATGCATTTCTTGGAGTGAATTTCCTGTGCTTTGAAAACCAAAACCCACAAAACAGAAAATAAAATTAAAAATTGGCTAAAACATTTCAGTTCAGTTAACAAAAGTGCAATAAACATATTCAGATTGACAACTAGCTTGTAGCCTAAAAAACAAGCTAGTGAAGATAATGAAACGATAAACATAACAATGGCAAATTGCCTAGCTATTAACCAATTTTCCCCACCTCATGGGATCTAAATATAGCAATATGCCATCATAGCTATTATGGAGATAAATTTGAAGGAAGTTAAGCCAAAAGAGAAGGTTAACTCTTAAGAGAAAACATAGTGTGATAGGTGTTAAAAGAGAAATAAAACTTGACAGTAAAGAGTTGAACATGTAAAAAAGTAAAATTCAATACCTTTCCAAATAGTCTTGGCTGAAAATGATACTTTTTTCCATCAGGGACATCAATAGTAACACTTAGCTACACGAAAAAGTTAAATAGAATTGATTAGTCCATCAACTTGTCATTAGAAGATAAACAATCTAACAGACTAATATTGGTTACAACAAATTAACAGCAATTGAGGAAAATAAATGATGGCATTAGTGTCGACAACAACAGAAGCAAAGATAGTACTACCATCACAATGGCAGCAGCTGCTAGCATTAACAGGAGTCTAATGATAAAGGCAACAATTGAAAAAAAAGAAAAGAAACACACTTCTAATGCATATCAGAAAAATAATTTTAAAAAAAATAAAATTGACCTATAAAAACCATTAAAGGCTTGTTCTGTTATTCAACATAAAAGTAACACGACATATAGGTATAGGCATGTACATACTTGCAATACATTCATCACACTCTGTAATCAGTTTGGTGAATCATGAATCATTTTGTGCTAAATCAGTACCCTTTTCCAGTGCTGCCTTGGCATTATGATATTCTTCAAGCTTAAAGCATGTAGTGCTGAAGAAAAGGGAAAGTTAAAAAATTAATTATTGAAAGGATTGTTTTGAAGAAGGATGTTTGATATCATGCAGTTGCGTGATAGTTAGAATAATATTAATCCACTTCAAGAAAAATCTAAGGGGTATAATATGCAACTACTTAAATGGAATCAGTTAATATCACAACATAAATGGTCTAGATAAAGTAAACTAAAAAATGTAGGGAGGGGGAAAAAAAAGAAGCTTCACAATGGGTATAAAAAGTGAGTTAGATGTGTAGACAACAAAGACAAGGATAAGTAGACAACTACACTAGTTTGCGAAGAATCTTAGCCATTTTGCAAAAAAAGCAAAGCCAAGGATAGGTAGACAACTAAAACAAGAACTAATTCTGATGGAAGTGGTGAGTAATATCTGTATTTACATGAGTGGGTGAATTTTTGATTTAGGCATTTCATCAAACAGTTGGTGAGCAGAAGGTGCAACAAGCAGCAGAAATTCATGGCAAACCACACATGTATCAGCACAAACCAAACTCAAAAACAGAGAAGCAAAGACAATTTCCCATCAAACAAACACAATGGAACAAAAATCAAACCACTCCCTTTGCTTTTTCTTTTCTTCTTCTATTTTTTCTTTTCTTATTTGAACTCCATCAAATGGGAGTCACAACCTAGTTAATGAAACCGCTTCAAACAAACCCATTTCAGAAATGAGGACAAAATTAAACTGAATTGGTAGAATAAACAACCCTAGTGCAAGGGTTCACAATTGGGGAAATAGAAGAAGGGGTAGAGAGAGAGAGAGAGAGAGAGCAAGATAGAGAGAGTCAGAGCGAGACAGAGAGCAAGAGAGCAACAGAGCAAAGTGAGTGAGAGAGCGAACCTGTTAGCGGTGGTGGCGGTACTGATTTGTGGCGTATGAGGACCGACGGTGTTGAGGATGCGCGGTCGTGAGGTTTGATCGCCGTGAGGTTTGTTGATTTGTGGTGGTGAGGTTTGCTGAGAGAGAGGTTCTGTGGTTGTGGTATATACGTAGAGAGGGTAAAAGTGTGAGACAGGCGCGAATCTGAAATAAAATTTTGAGCTTCCACGACTAAATGATTTATTTGTCGGGAAATGTATATAAGGAGTAAATAATTTCATGCCATTTGGCGACTAAATATTATTTTGGTCGCTAAAAAAGGTACGAAAAATCTGACTACATATTATTTTAGCCTAAACTATATACTATTGCCGACTAAAATTGTTTTAGTCGCTAAAAGAAGTAATTTGGCGACTAAATATTTTGGTCACCAATTAATTTTATAAATCCCTCCAAAATTCGAAATTTTCCCTCCAAATATTTTAATTCTTTGGCGACTAAAATATTTTTTAATCGTTAAAAATAAATTTTTGGCAACCAAACTTATGGTCACCAAAAGTCTGAAAGTAAATTTTTGTTTTTCATTCGGCGACTAAAAAATTTTAGCACCCAAAACTATCCATACGACTAAAACATTTTTTAGTCACCAATTGTGGCATTTTTAGCGACTAAAATTTTTTTTAATCGCTAATAATCAATATTTCCCGACTAAAAAAAATTAGTAACTAAATATTGTACTTTTACTGACTAAAAAATTTTTTGGTCGCCAATTCCACAAGTTTTGGTGACTAAATTTTTTTTAATCGCCTAATTTAGTCGCCAAAAGTGCATTTTCTTGTAGTGGATTGAAGAATATTTTAACCAACTATTATACATTTGCATAATATATAACATTAATTTGCATAATATTTTTCATATATATAACACAAACTAATTTTACATAATATGTTTCATATATATAATTACTAATTTAGAACAAATTTCACATCTTAAATCTCTCGCACACTCATTTTTATTTTGATATTTCATTAGAGATTAAAAAATATATGTGTATTAACTATAGTGGAGTATAGCAGTTTCGAAAGCGAATTATAAATTTTTAAATTTAATCCGCAGTTAGTAGATAGAACAGTGCGAATTTTTGCGAATCGATGCGATTTTAGTGAATTTGACAGTATTTTGCACAGCCGTGCATATAGCTATCGATATTCGATCACCTTGATTTTTTGTATAATATTCTACTCAATAAGTTTTAAAAAGTGAACAGTTTAAATTATTAAGGTTGACTCCAAAACAGACCCACTAAATTCAACTGTTCTCTCAAATTAGATGGTCAATTTAAGAGAATCCAAACTTAAATAGATAAGCATATAATTGATTAATCAAAAGATACAAAGGCATCATTGTGAGGGGTAAATTCGCACAACCACACTGCTCGGCTGAGCAAATTGGACGACGACTGAGCAATAAATGTGACTTAACATCTGAACAACATGTTGGATCAAAAAGACTAGAAAACTTTAGGGATATAAAAATTATCAATACTACTCGGCTTGTTGAGAACTAGGTTAAAAGTAGATTTTTTTTAAAAAAATTAGTTTTTTTCAAAAAATGTGTAAAAAAATTGAGAGATGGTATGATCCAAAATAGGTTAAAAGCCAAAAAGCGACTTTTGGCCAAGTTCCCAAAATAATGTGAGTGATTTGGTAGTTTTTTGGTAAAAAAATTGATGTCTCTAGCATTGTTGAAAAGACTAACTAGAAGTCTAATCCTAAACAAGGAGTGCATCAAGTTAAGGATAAGTTCACAAAAAATGAGATTATACTTGTCCTAAGAGTTTTACTCACAATAACACTAACTTAAATATTGAAGTGTCTCTCAACTAAATACTCGAGTCGAAAAGAGATCTGAACTTGGAAAATGTTTTGTATACCAATAAGGTACAAAGTGGCACTATTCTTCTACCAATCACAAATATATATATGGAAAATTTGGCCATAAATCTCTCTTAGCTTTCTTTTCTTGTCAAAAAGACAAATAAAATAAAATTTAATACTTTCAAAACTCCTTCATAATTATAAAGTTCTATATGAAGGACAAAATTTGTTATTTGAATATTTTATTTAACTATTATACCTTATTTTTCTTCTTTTTCTTTTACAGTACTCTTTCTCTTTACCAACTCGGTGATTGTTCATCGCCTCTACCATCTTCATCATCTGTTGGCATCGCTTATCCTCACCATCGACTAGCAACCACCATTTTTACCATCAAATCACCACCATCTCAGATTTAATACTTACGAACTTAGATTTGAGATCAATATTTTCATATCTGAGATAAATAAACTTAGATTTGATTAAAAAAAAATGAGAAATCGAGATATTACAATAAAAAATTAAGAGTTTTTATTTGTTTGTTCATGGATCTAAAAGTAAAATTTGACTCTAGTTCATTCATTATGTACTTTGCTTTTTGTAACAGTAAAATTTTACTTTAGTTAACAATATGTTAATCTGCTTAACGATAGTAAAATTTTACTTTGAATTAAAGTACAGTCAAAGTAAAATTTACTCTGAAAAGCACTGCGATGATGGTCTTACAAGAAAGGGATGCATCATAAACCAAAGTAAAATTTTATTGTTCGAAGAATAAAGCATCATGAGAAAAAAAAGAAGAGAGAGATAGGGAGACAGAATTCGAAAACAGAGCATCGTGAAAAGAAGAAGAAGAAGAATGAGAGAGAGAGAGAACAGAAATGATGAGTCACACACACACACACATAGAGAATACAAACCGTTAGAACTAAAGGGAGAGAGAGTGAAGGATTGTAGATTTGAGGTTCGTGAACCACACACCGTCATTTTTTGGCGACGAATACGTGAATGATCTCAGATCTGAGGTCGTGAACGTGACAAGTGAGGTGGTGATGAAGACGGTGGAGAAAGAGTTCCATAAAGAGTGACGGTAGCGATAATAGAGAGCGTTGATGGCGCCAATGGAAAGCAACGGTGGTAAAGAGAGCAAGACAAAGATAAGAAAGATTAAGATGAGAGAGAGAGAGAGAGTTTGCAAATCTTTTATATATATATATATATATATATGAGGGTAGCATAGTAAAAGAAACAAATTTTAAAATATTATAGGAAGTTTTGAAAAGATTCATACAATTTTTGTCCTTTTGAAGGACAAATTAGACACTGAAAGCTATATCACCAAATCTCCCAATATATATGCCCCATAATGTTCTCCAAACATCCAATAATATAGTTTATATTCCACTATCTTCCATTAATCATAATAGTGGAAGATACCACATAGATAAACCCTAAACTTGTTATTACAAAGTATTCAGAGTATAGAGAGATCAAGACGTTTGCCATCATCAATCCTGACTTTGTCAATATATCTATACCCAAGATTAATTAATACTATCAAATTCCACAATTGATGTTGATTTGGGTATTTGGATTTAAAAAAACAAGAAACAAAAGCATTTAAAGCAAATGACTTTGAAGGTGGTTGCATGAGTGTGTGTTTGCATAATCCATTATGAATAATTCTATCCATACCACTTATTCAACTCATTACACCTTTCCATTTTATTTTTTTTAATTACATTTCAATTCTCGTATAAAATTACTAAAATATATTTTCATCTTGAAATTTGAAAATCCTAATTTTTCATTATATCCCATCACCATCACCTCTATCCACCCATTATTGTCGCCACCCCTTCACTGCCAACCGTCGCCACCCAATCCCTTACTGCCTTCCTCTTCTTCCTCCTTTTTCTTCTTTTTTTTTCTTCCAGATTTGAAAACCTAACCCTAGGTTTTCATCTCTCTATGTCTCTCTTGCTTTGGTAAAAGATGGGGCGGTCACAATAGCGGTGGATTACAGTGGTGGGGACAATCTGAAAGTGTTGTAGAAGGGGTTGGTTGTGGCAACTTTCTGTTGCCCTCACCAATTCTCGTCACCGCCCTTTTCCTTATTTTCCCTCTTCTTTTTATTCCAGATATGAATCGCAGTGGTAGGGACGATCTAACCTTAGGTTTCATCTCTCTCTTGCTCTCGCAATGGATTACAGTGGTGGGGACACAAATCTAAAAGTGATGCAGAAGTGGTGGTTGCACCGGTAGTGATGGTTGCAGCGTAAAGTGACAGAAGGAGTTATGGATGCGACAGTGAGGGGCTACGAAGGTGGTGGTTAAGATAATAGGGGTCGTAGTAGTTGGAGGGCTATGAAGATAATGATAGTGACAACCGGTGGTGATGACAGTGGCAACGATCGACGGTAATGGCAATAAGGGGGAGAGAAAAGTGAAGGAAAGAGAGAAGATGAAAATGAGTGTAAGGAGAAGTGGGGTTTGAAAGGGGTAAAAGTGGTATAATGAAAAATGTAAAGAGAGAGTAAAAAATTGAATCATTGTAATGAGAAAATGGGTGTAAGAAGTTCAAATTGTCGTATAAGTAGAATTATTGATCCATTATAAACAACTAGAGATGTCAAGGTTGCTCGATCCTAAGAATATTGAGAAAAACTATGGTGGCAGAATAATTCACCCAGAATTTTTTGGGTGGTTGATTGTGTAGTGGAGAGATTAATTTGTATAGTATAGGTTTCATGTGGAGTTCATATATAGAATAAATTAAAATCATAAGATAAAATTTTGGATAATTTCTGGGTTAGTAAAAGTAGGTTTGTAGTATTATTGAAAAATATTTCCTCTTTCTTCTAATACATACTTGTTTAATCATATTAAAATATATTTAAGTATGAAAATATCAAGGCATTAAGTTGGGGGTCTTTGATAACTCTATTCAACACTTAAAACTAAATGTATAAAAATTTAAATATCAATTTAAGTTGGGGGTATTTAATCACAATTGATATCACTTAAAATTTTAAGTACCTCTTAAAATGAAGGCTAAAATTTAAAAAAAAATTAAATCATATAAAATTTACTTAATTCTGACTGAATTCATAAATATTATATATAAGTATCAATATACATTATTATAAATTCACTACCATCACAACAGCCACCATCATGCCACCACCACCACCATGTAGAAATGGCAATGAGCCGGGACAGGGCCGGGGATCACACTCCTCGTCCCCGATCCCTGATGACGGGAAGCATATTACCGCCCCGCCTCCGCCCCCTAACGAGGATCGAGTTTCCCCGACCCCAAAAATTTCCCGACCGAAATAAAAAAATACAACAACAGATTAAAATGTTTATTCTCATGTTTGATTAAGCAAAAAAATTTAAAATATATATATATATATTGTAAATGATTTCTAGAACTAGATCAACTAAAACAAGAAGCAAAAAAAGTCAAAAGAAAAAGCAAAAACAGGAGCTACCATAGTGGAACTGAAACATGAGCCAAGAATACAAGCATGCCTTAAAGAATTCTACACAGGTACCCAACAAGAGCTAGCATAGAAAACCCAAACTC